CCCTGCCCTTGGGGAGCTTGTATTTCAGAAGGAGTCATGTATTTCAGAACCACATGTAACTGTGGTTCTAGAGAAAATGAGATTAAAGCATGAGAGGATTGAAAAGAGCATAGAAAGAAATTTAAGGAGATAGATAACTTTGATGAGGGGGAAGGAAAAACACCACTCAAGTGTAGGCCAGAACCTCAGGAAATGGTGTGTGTTTGTGTACATCTTTCTGTGTGTTTGTGAGTTTTGGTTTTGTTTTTTGTTTTTTTTTCCACTGAATTTGCAATGTTTCCAACGTGAGTCATATTGCTTCTGGGCTTCTCCCAGTGGGCACAATGTGCTCTCCCAACCTGGCTTTGTTGAGCATCTAGGAGTATAGAATGGGGAGGGTAGTGGGGAAGAGATCCAGAACCTACCCTTAGGAGTCTCCTTTTGGGGAGGTAGTCTTGAGCACGGAAAAGGTGTGTATTTGGAGGAGTAGGGGTGTTTATGGGAGGACCTGTTTGGGGAAGGCCTATGGACACCAGCACTGTGGACAGAGAACAGCAATGGCCTTAGTCTCAGGTCAGCCCCCACTGGCTTGGCATCTCCAGGAATATCTGGTAGGCTCTAGAGGAGGGCTGTCTCTTCCCTCCCCCCCCCACCCTTTTAAAGCTTCTTTCTCTCAATCCATTTTCCACTGCATGTTTCACCCCAGCCAGGAATTCTAGCTTCATCTTTTCCTTTCTCCCTTCCCCCATCCTGTCTGACCCAGAAGGGGTGACACCCCTCAACCCCACTGTTAGGTAGTATTGTGACTGGCAGGAGCTAGGCTGATGATGGCAGAAGTGGTGTTAGGAGGGAATAGAGAGGAAGGGAGAGGTGACAGGAACCAGGGAATCTAGACTGTCAGGTGAAGAAACAGGGGTACATTGGGAGATTGCCAAGACCCTGGGGTGAGGAGTGGGTGTGAAGGCACCGACCTGTATCTGTCACCTGAAATCTAGGCAGATAGGATAGAGGCAGAGAGGACCATAGAAGGTATGGACTGTAGAATGGACATGAGAGATAATGTAGTCCAATCCCTTTATTTTGTAGAAGAGGAAACTGAGGCTCATTGTGAACTCCTTGAAAGCAAGAACATCTTTGACCTTTTTTGTATCCCAGTGCTTAGCACAATGCCTGGCACATAGCAAGGACTTAATACATGTTTATCAACTAACTAAATGACAGAGTTTACAAAAAGAGTTAGAATTGGGTTTGAGGGTCCTGACTTCCAGGAGGCCAGGCCTTTTTTTTTTTTTTTTAATGCTATACCTCAGCTACATCTTTAGGGCTGGTGGATGAATCAATCAACACCTTGGACAGAGTGTCCCCTGTGGGCAGAGCTGTGCTGAGCTCTGGGGCAGGGAAGAGTAACAGTCTCTACCCTGTGGAGGTTCCAGTCTGACTTGGGAGACAAGGCAGGTACTCAGGATATCAGACTGAGATGCTGAAACAAGAGTCCAAATCATGTCCTGAGAGTGCTCAGGGGAGGAAGTGGGCCTGGAGGGTACAGAGGCAAAGAGGGAGGACTCTCTCCCTCCTGTTTGCCGCCCCTTTCACCCCGGGCCTCATCTTTTCCACCTGTGCCTACCCTTCATACTACAAGAGATCATAGGATGAGAATTGTAAGGGGTCTTTGAGTTCATCTAATTTATCGCCTTCATTTTTTCCCCTTAATTTTTATTTATTTATTCATTTAAAAATTTTTTTTTGAGTTCCAAATTCTCTTTCTCTTTGCCCCTCCCTCACCTATTGAGAAAAGCAAGCAATAGGATATCAATCGCAGAATATATATGCAGAATATATACCTCCTTAATTTTTTAACCAGTAGGGGAAAGGAGAAATTGAGTGATTTGCCTAAGGTCACAGAGGTTATAGATAGTGGAGACAAGATTGGAAGCAGAGTCTTCTGAAAGAAGCCCAGTCTTCTTTACAATACTCTGTATACTGCCTTGGACCAGGAAGCACTTGGGTAGACTCTTTCTTGCAACAGAATTCCCTGGGGACAGGGCTCGTTTCCTTTGGGGGCCCAGTCCCCGGTTTCCCCTTCCCCTGCAAGAAAATGAATTGAATGAGTTAAAAATAATGCTGCTGTGAGAGGGGGTGTTGTCCCTAACCACCCCCAGGCTCCTCCACCAACCCAGCTTGGTTTTCAAACAAGTGAGCAGCTCAGTCATTCTTTGTCTCTGGTAGCCTGGCTTTTCCTGCCCTCTGAAGCCCTAACCTCATTCACTTCCCCTCCACTGTCCCCGCACCCCCCAACTGTTGCTTGAAAATAGTTCAAGGGGCTCTAATCTTAGAGTTCATAAATCACTTTACATATATGATCTCATTTTGTCCTCGCAACAGCCTGGTGAGCCAAATGTGATAGTTATTATCAGACCCATTTTATAGATGAGGAAACTGAGAGTCAGGGAAGTCCAGAATCACGCAGTGAACAAGTGCCAATACAGGTCTTCTTGGCTGCAGTGCAGTGGTCTATCCACTCACTATGTGCTGCCCCCCTGCCCCCTCCCCCACACAGTGCCTCTTACCCCTGTACACTTGAGATAATATGTTTGTTTTGTTTTCTCCTCTAGAGTTTATTCGCAAAGCAAAGCAAATTCACAAAGAATATACCAGGGTGAGGGCATTAGAAATGAATATGGATGGTTCTGTCCAGCAAAGACTGGGTGGTGCCCAAACTCTTTTATTCTTACTTAGCAACAGTTCCCCAGGCTGAGTTTGTAGTCATTCAGAGACAATGTTCTGCAGTGGAAATCACACTTTACATGGGATCATAGATTGAAGACAGAAGGTACCTTAGAGGCCTTTGGGTCTCACACCTTCATTTTGTAGTTGAGGAAACTGAGGCCCAGAGAGTTTAAGTGACATGCATAAGGTCACCCAGTATAGTAAGTGTCTGAGGTAGGATTTGAACCCAGATTGAGTGCCCTAATCCATTGAAAATTTGCACTCAAGTCTTGGCTCAGATATTTCTTATGAGATGTATGATTCTGGTTCAGAGATAGTATGGTACACTGGGTAGAGGACTGGTCTTAGAATCAGGATGACTTAGATTCAAATTCTGTCTCAGATATGAGCTGTGTGACCAGGAATGTCATTTAATCAATGACACTGCTGTCATGGGGGGGGTGGGAAATCAGATTCTTGACATATTGGTGTGATCCTAAGTCATTTTACTCTCTCTGAGCCTCAGTTTCTCCATCTATAAAATGGAAATAAGAATATTTACACTGCTTGTAAGGAAAGTGATATGTAAACCTTGAGAAGAACTGTAGAAATGGAAGCTGTTATTTGTTAAATGATTCTCTTGGCCTCTAGAACATTTTGGCCCTATCTGAGAACACCTCTAGTTTGTGCCAGGATTTTTTCTAAAACCTCACAAGGCTCTTTGGTTCTCTCTTTCTCCTAATTCTCCCTCCCAGCAGTCCCCCATCCTGCATTCCCAGTCTTCCCATAAGGGCTGAACTATGTTTGTATACTGGGTAAAAAAATTCACATCCCTCAGGTTCCAAAAAGGCTTCATCTCCCTCAACTGGCCTCTCTCTCCATAATTTTTTAGTTTATTATTTTTATTTTCAATGAAGTATTTTAAAAAATTATCTATTCTCCCACCTCAGTTAAATTTAAAAAGAAAACCCTCAATACCTAGCTATATGGTCTGGGGGAAAAAAAAAACCCCAAACCTCCCACATTAGCTATCTCGGAAAATGTTTCTCTGCATTGTAAGTCCATCACCTCACTGGGAGGTGTGTCATGTTTCATCTGCATTCTTTTGGACTCATGGTTGATCATTGTGTTGGTCAGAGTTCTAAAGTCTTTCAGATTTGCTTTTCTCTATAATGTTATTGTCATGGTATAAAATTGTTCTCCTCATTTTTCTCATGTTCTTCTCCATCAGTTCATAGAGATCTTTCCAATCTCCTCTGAAGCTGTCCATTTCATTCTTTCTTATGGTGCAATAACATTCCATTCATTCATGTGCCGTGTTGATTTTTTTTTTAGTCATTTCTCAATAGGAGGACACACCTTTAGTTACCAGTTTTTGGCTACTATGAAAAGAACAGCTATAAATGTTTTTGTACATATAGATCCATTTCCTCTTTCTATGACTTCTTTGAGGTATAGACTTAATGGAAGCATAGCAGGTTCAAAGGGCATGTACACAGTTTGGTAACATTCTGGGCAGGGTTCCAAATTGCTTTGCAGAATGGCTGAGGCAATTCACAGGTCTACCGACAGTGCACCAGGGTGTCTGTTTTTCTACGGCCTCTCTAGCATTTATAAGTTTCCTCTTTTGTCAACCTTGTTACTCTGATAGGTATGAGGTGGCACCTCAAATTTGCTTAAATATGCATTTCTCTAATTATTAGTGATTTAGAACATTTTTTTTCATATGATTGTATATAGCTTGGATTGCTTCCTCTGAAAACTGTTCTTTAACCATTTGTCTGTTAGGGATGACCATCATTCTTCCACGTTCCTATACTTGCTCCTCTGCTTAAGTGTGATGTATTAAATGTCATTTCCCATCTCTGAGCTTCAGTTTTCTCATTGGTAAAAGGAGGGAGCTGGACTAAGTGGTCTTTTGTGCATGATCCCTTCTAGCCAAGGTGTGCCTGGGAATTTTTTCAACTAGGGCAGATGTTGGCGCCCTAGGAGGAAGTGGGGAGTCTGATGGGGGATCATGAGCAGGGTACAGGCTAGTCCGATTAAGGTTGCAGGGTATGTGTCTGCTCTCTTGGTGCCCCTCATGGGGGCGGTGGCCAACCAGAGATTCAGAGTGGTAACAAAGAGGTCTCTAGACCACCACGGGGAGGATGTACCTGCCTACCCCCACGTTGAGGCCAGGGTCAGAGCTTTGTCTGCTCTTTCTGAATTACAGCTGTACCCCCCCAACTCTAAATCCTAATCATCCTATGATCATAGGTCACATCTGCAAGGCCTTGGCAGGGCTATGTCCCTCATTTCTGCATGTTCCATAGGGTTAACTTGGCTCTGGCCTACACAGAACTGACAGAGGAGCTGGGCCGACTGCGGGAGCTAAGTTCCCTTCAGGGGAGAATTCTGAGGACATTGCTGCAAGAACAAGTCCAGAGGAGCGGTGAGCAGGGCCTGGGTGAGGATGGGGCGGGGTGGGGGGGCGAAGAAAGGGACAGGAGGAGAGTCTCTGCTAGATTCTGAGGGGGCATGGCAACCATCCGGCACCATCTACCTCCTTTAAATACTTTCCTTGCATGCTGGGGTCCTTTCATTCCCCAAGGGTGGGAAAGCTGTCTCATTGTAAAAACAAAGCTTTCCTGAGGTTTGACTTTCTCCTTATGCTCCCATTCCATCCTGTTTTCCCTTCCAGGCCAAAGACATTCCCCTCTTTCCCAGCGCCACTCCCCATCTTCACAGTGCCCTTCGCCATCCCCACCAGCCCGGGCTCCCCCGCCCGGGCCTCAGAGTCAGTCCCCGGTTCCCCAGCGTCGCTCCCCTGTACCCCCTGTTCCACCGTGCCATTCACCCCAACAGCACCGCTCCCCTGCCTCACCATCCTGTCCATCACCTGCCCACCAGCGCCGCTCCCCTGTGCCCCTGCCACCCCCACCGCCATGCCAGTCTCCTACCCCGCAGCGCCGCTCTCCTGTGCACCCCCCCTGCCCAGCTCCCAGCCTCGGCCCCCACCAGGGGAGAGGACTCTGGTGGAGCTGGCCTACGCCAAGCCACCCAGTCACCACGTGAAGGCTGGCTTCCAGGGGCGCCGCAGCTACTCAGAGATGGCCGATGGGGCGGGCTATGCGGGAGCTGTCCCCTGGCTTCAGGCTGAGGCCTCAACGCTGCCCAAGCCTCGACCCTATGGTGGGGAGCTCTACAGCCCCAGCAGGCCTCTCAGCCCCCGAAGCACCTTTGAAGGCATCCGGCTTCGGTTTGAGAAGCAGTCTTCAGAAGAAGAAGAGTGGGCTGTGCCTAGCCCCCCCAGCCCAGAGTCAGGCACCATCCGATGTGCCTCTTTCTGTGCTGGCTTCCCCATCCCTGAGACACCCACTGCTGCCTACACCCACGCGGAACATGCCCAGTCCTGGCCATCCATTAATGTGAGTGAGGGCCTGGGGCTGCCATGTGGGCTCCGGGTGGATGGGGAGAGAGTAGTCACAGGTTAGTGGCAGGGGGTGGCAGAGTGCCCCCTGCCCTCAAGTCCCCAGGACTCAGACAGGTCTGAGATTCTCAAACCTTTCTGGGGAGCTCACACTTCTTATAATCCATCTACATACCCAATTCAAGGCATTTTTGACAACAAATATTTGAATGCGAGATGTGTGCCAGGCACTGTGCTAGGTACTTTAAAGAACAAAGATGAAAAATGCTACAGCCCCTGCCTTCGAGGACCTAAAGTGTATCAGGGCTGGGGAACAGCATATAACTCATTCATAAATAAGTAGAATACAGGTAATAGCAGCAAAGGAAAAATCCAGACCAAACATGAAGAATTTGCAGAGGGAGTGTGATGGCTTTCAGCTGAAGAGGAATCAGGGTAGGCTTTATGGAAAAGGTGGCACCTGAGTTGGGCCTTGGTAGAAGGAAGGAAATAAGCATTTGTTAAGTGCCTACTGTCTGCTAAGAGCTTTGCAAATATCTCGTTTTGTCTTCATGATAATTCTGGGGGGTGGGTGCTATTGTTATCCTCATTTTACAGTTGAGAAAATGAAAACAAACAGAAGTTAAGTGACTTGCCCAGGGTCACATAGCTAGGAAGTATTGGAGGCGGGATGATGCCTTCAGTGGAAATAGGGGAACTAGGATGAAGAGCAGTTTTTTAGGGGAATGGGGAGGTGGGGAGAGAAGATTAATGAGTCAATAAACACTTATTATAAACACAATAAGCACTTATTAAGGAAGGAAGTGTGTTTAGTCGTTGAGGATACAAAGAGAAGTAAAAGGAAATTCTTGCCCTCAAGGAGATCACAATCTAATGGAAGGAGACAACATGTGAACAAGATATATGATATAATATGTAATTATAGAATATATAATATAATATCATTTATAATAAATTGAAAATAATCAACAGTGGGAGATCGGGAAAGGCTTCCTGTGCAAGGTGGGATTTTAGCTGGGACATGAAGTTCAGTTTTGGACTTGCTGGGTGTAAAATGTCTACGGGACATCCTAGTAGAGACGTCTAGCCTGGGGCATTCAAAATTGGGTATCAGGAGAGAGATTGGGGTTGGAATAATAGATTTGTGTCATCTGCATAGAGATGATAATTGAAGCCATGGAAGAAAATACAGTCATGGAGAGTGTGCAGAGACAAGAGGAAGCTGAGGATAGAGACACCCTTATGGGGCAGGTGTAGGAGAACATGGAAAGAGACTGAGGGGGATGTCAGGAGACTGAGAGTAAAAGACAGAAATGAATCATCCCTGCCCTCAAGGAGTTTACATTCTACTGGAGGCTTAAGATGTCTTAGTCAAGAGAACTGGTGGAGAGGAATATCATGGAAGCCAAGGGAGGAGAGAGTGGCTAGAAGGAAGGAGTTAACAGTGTAGAAAATGGCAACTAAACCAAGAAGGATGAAGACTGAGAGGAGGACAGTGGAGGGTCAGCTGACAGGGCTAGAGATTGGGGAGAAGGAGAGAACTGATCCCCGGGCTCTTTATGACTCGAATTGATCAAAAGGCATGTATTAAAGTACCTCCTGTGTTCTAGGCACGGGATACAAAGCAACAAAAAGAAAGCTTATATTTTATATATATTTTATTTTTATCTCTTAATATTTAATGTTTCTATAAACATTTTATATTTTTCTACAAAATGTTATATATTTATAGAAATATATTTATATGTGTATATTCACATTACAACATATGCATTATATTACATACAAATATTTACATATTTATATATCATGAAGTTTATGTTTTAGTATATGGATGTGTAAGTTAAGGGCTGGGGTGGGAACCAGGAGTAAGGAATAGGGAGAAAGAGGGAAAAGTATGATGGTTGGGGGTGGTGCAAGGGAAAGGCCTCGGGAATGACTCCCCTTTTTCTGCCTCTCCCTCCAGTTGCTAATGGAGACTGTGGGTTCAGACATCCGAAGTTGCCCTCTCTGTCAGCTGGGATTTCCCGTTGGGTACCCGGACGATGCACTCATCAAACACATTGACTCGCACCTGGAGAACAGCAAGATATAGGGCACTCCCCCTTTCCTCCCCTTGACCATTCATTCTCTCCCACCTCTCCAGACCACCATTCCCCTCTACTTTGAATGCTGCATGATTCTCGCAGGGTCTGTCCTCCCTTTCCTCTGCTACTCCCAGACACCTCCACTAGCTACCCACGAGTCTCGCCATGTGTGCTGTCTCCCTGCTGTTCTGCCAGTCACCATTTAGCTCTGGCTCTCTCCAGGAGGAGGTGCCAAGATCCACTCCCTGCCCCATATGCTTCCTCTCTGGCTCCTTCCGAGGGAAGTGGGGGACTGGGGTGGGATGGGTCAGGGCTGTCCATCCTCCTCTGAGTCTTTGTCCTCCTTCCTGTTCTCAAATTGTGTTGGATACAGTAAAGTCTCCAGTATCGTTGGGCTAGTGGGGGGAAGGGCAGGGAAGGGGATTTGTGGACTCCAGGAGGCCCCACCCCACCCTGGAGATGTGTCTGTGATGCGTTGTAGCTCTGCCACATCCCACGCCATCTTGGTCCTCCATGCCCCCTCCCATTCCAGGTCCTCAGCCCTGCCAGGCATTGATGCCAGATGCCAACTCTTCCCTATGCACTGAGTCTCCTGGAGTGGGGTTCCCAGGGGAGAAAATGCTAGATATAGCCACCCCCCTCATCCCTCTCTTCCAGACACATTTGTCCATCCATCCATCCATCCCAGAGCTACCTCTCCCTACACCATTCCTAGAACCCTCCACCCCCCCCACCCCCAACAGGGACTAGATGATTAACTTTAGAGACTGGAGTGAGGATTCCCTGCCCTTCCTACCACACTTGCCTGCCTTCCTGGGCCTGAGCAGAGTATGGATCTGCCCTGACCTCCCCCTGGCCTCTTCCCCCTTTCCCAAATTAAGTATCCACCTGGGGTGTGTGTGTGTGTGTGTGTGTGTGTGTGTGTGTGTGTAACAGAAAGAGAGAGAGAGAGAGAGAGAGAGAGAGAGAGAGAGACAGAGAGAGAGAGAGACAGAGAGAGACAGAGAGAGAGTAGTGATGGGGTTGCATTAGGAAGATTCCCTGGATGCTCCAGCCTAGGTTGGCAGGTTCCCCCACCCCCACCCCCACACGGGTACCATCTGTGTCAGTTTGCTGGCTCCAGCGGCTCATCTGTCTACCTGACCGAGTTCCTGGAACTTTCACCTCACATTGTGGGGCAGATCCTCCTCTTCTGTTGCCCAGACCCCATTACCACAAGTGCCCTGGGAACCCAGAAAGGGCTGGTGCCAGGTCAGGCGTGGGCATTGGCATTGCTTCCTGGGTGTCAGACCGGATTCCTGTAAAGTGGGTGGGTTGGTAGGCAGCCCAAACTGTTCCCCAGTGCCCAGGTGAGAGTGGGCAAGGGTGGGCACCTGGACCCAGCCCAACCCTGAGAATTGGCCAAGGGCGGGCTACTGAGATCTGCTTTAAAAAGAGCTAACTCCCTTTACTGCTCCCCATCCCCACCTCCCACCCACACTCCCTCTGTAAAATCTACCTCAGAGTTGATAAATCCCAGAAGGATAGGTATGAGGGGACGGGCTGGGGGGAAGGGAAGACCCCCCCCCCAGGGCCAAGAAGGGAAACTCCCTACCAGTGAGAGCCCGGACCCCCAGCAATTAAACCAACTTCCCCTCTCCCTCAGCAACCACCACCTTGTGGTCAGGGGAGGAAGAGTGCTGCTTTCAATGCATGTACAGTTCTGATCCAACTCTTCCAGAATCCCCTTGACCATCACAGCTCTCCCCGACGCCTGGTTTCCTAACCCTCCACCTCTATCCTGGGGGTGTTGGGTGTGGATGCAGGAGGAAGGTGGGCTACAAGAACTCCAGAGACACAAGGACCTGGCTGTATCATCTGGACCTGAAAGTTCCCCTAGAGGAGAGGAAGAGGCACAAGGGAGGAGGGAGAGGGGGGCCCTGTGCTCTGTGAAGAAAATAAAAGTCCAAATAAAAGTTACCTGTCCCGAGTGCATGCCCCTCTTCCTTCCCCTTTAGAAGAAATATTGCCTTGGTTCCATACTCTCTCCTCTTTCCTTCTCCCCCCTTCCTTCCAACACAGCTTAAAGCAGCACTTGAACGAGGCAAGCACACAAGTTCTTGTGGATGGAGAGAGGGTCATGCATAACAATGAGATAATCCCCAAATTTTATGGTTTCCAAAAAGTATCTGATTGACCTTAAAGGAAGCACATGAATGAAAGTAGGGGAGGGGCATGGATTTTCTAAAACAGTAATAAAGAAAAAATATGAAGAATCTCAGAAATCCTTAATGGTTCCAGTTCTAATTGTCCAAATGTTGGTTTGGAATCTCAATTTTGACAGCTTATTGGCATAGTCAATTTGATTCAAGTCCTGTTAGCATCATGCCCATTATCTGTAACTCTTCCTTAGCCCCTCCCCTCCTCTTCCATATTAATCAAGGGTGAGCAAGAACTGGAAGGGAGGACCTATAACATTCAAATCTTTTTTTCTTTGCCCCCAAGGAAGGAGTAAGCCAAATAGTGAGTTAAGAGAAAGAGGGTGGGCAGCTTTGCTCAGGGTAGAGCTCTACGTATATTTGAGAGGTCAGATTGTTTATACTCAACCTGAAGTGGTAGAAAAGCTAAGAGGACTTAGACCTCATGGCCCTTTGAAGCAGCTCTCCCCAAGGCAGCTACTCTTTTTGGTCTGAACCAGGGGTGTGGCTCCAGTGGAAAAAAATTGCATGCACAAATACTCTCAAGTTTAATTTGCTCGAACACTTTCTTAATTCTCAACAGCCAACAAAACAATCAATTGAGCCCTGATTTGCAGTCATTCCGGATTTCTAAGGTGTAAACGCTCAATGAAAACGTTAACAACTGGCTCTTGCAGGTTAGGGTTGGATCCAGCATGCCCCTGAAGTGTCCTGAATCCCCAGGACTTTGGACCCAACCATCATCACAAATAAATCAAAATTGCATCCCTTGAACAAAAAAAAAAAAGGATTTTTTTGGATCATTTTGTCTTTTAGACTCATCTATGGGATAACACACCTCTATTGATGCAGACTGGAGAGTTGACTTTGTTGTCTACCTACACCCTCAGTAGGCACTAGGCTACACTTAACTTCCTTTGGTCCCATTCCAACCACTTTCGGGTTTAGCCACCTAGTTATGCTCCTGGACTTAGTAAGGCAGGCACTGGGGCTTACCAGATTTTATCCCAATACAGATGATAAGGAATGTATTTAAATGAGCAGAGATTCAAGTCGGAGAGCATTTCTTATCTACTGTGTGCGCTGTCACAGAAGCACAGAATTTTAAGAATAGGAAGTGAACTCAGCAACCAACTAGAAAAACACATACCTGAAAAGAACTCTAACTAAAGCATGCCTCACATGTGGTTATCCAGACTTTCGAAGAGAGAGAAGCCACTACATTCCAAACTGCTGTGCCTTGGGAGAGAGACAGTTTAGATGTGATACAGTCCTTGAGGTCAAAGACCTATGACAAATAGCTCTCCTACTGGGGTTCCCTATGGCATGGAGTCCAAGTCACCTTTGGTGGATTTTTCTTTGTTTTTTTTGGCTAAGTCCCTCACGCCTCCAATTCTTCTTGAAAGAATCAGAGGACTTGGATTCATTGATTGTGTGTTTTGGGGTAAGTCACGTCCTCTCTGAGCCTCCTCTTCCTTGTTTAAAAAATGAAGCTATTGATACTAGGTGGCCTATAACATTTTTCCCAGTTCTAAGTATGTAAACCTATGAATGGTGCATTGGAGGGAGCTTTTCTACATAAACGGCCCAGAAAGGAGAACAAAGAAAACCCACAAATGGCTTTCTGTGATCCCCAAGACCACAGGATCCTCAAACAAGTGCCCCCTGGGAGTCACAAGCTCAGTGCTACAGGTCTGGTTGTAGCAGAGAATCTACCTCTCTAGGGTACAGTTCATTTAAAGGTTCACTTTCCTCATCTTTCAGGTTCACCAGGGTTTCCCATGGGTTGCTACCACTCAGGGCCCTGATTCTTAACTGCTCTCCCAACCTGCCCTGGACTCCATCCCAGCCCAGGAAAACCTTTCCCTCTGAATTTCTCTTCTTTGACATCTGATATCAATAGGAGGATCTCTCTTCCTTTTGGTCCTGTCCTGCAACAGAGTCCTTTTCTCAAATCTTACTAATGTCTATTTGACACTTAATCACTGTCCCCCTTATCCGAGGTGGTATGAGCCAACAAGGGAGCTGAGTGGGATAGGACACAGCTTTCAGAAGCTCTTTTCAGGCTGGGGCTCTGCATCTTTTGGAAAGGTGATGCTATCTGGCCTCAGTTTGAGGTGTAGGGAAGTATGAAATTCAGAATGTATACCATGTGGAAAGTCTGGGCTCAAATCCAGGTTCTGACACTTACTAGCTATGGGACGTTGGGTAAATTAGTTCCCCTATTTGGGCCTTGGTTTCCCTGTTAAAATGAGGGCGTTGGACTAGATTAGCTCTAAAATCTTGTCCAATGCTAAGTCCTATGAGCCCGTGACATTGTTAGGAGTTGCTCAGAGGCCAGATGTGACATCAATGTCCTTGGGAGACTGTAATAAGACAAGCTTGAGGCATAGAGAGCCCGCCATCATTCCTCACAACTCACCTGAGTTATATTATCTCTCTTCCCTTAACCTCCACCAACAAAGAATGTGATGTCTCTGAAAATCATTCCGCTTATAATTAAGGGTATGAACAAGAAACTCATTGTGTCTAGTTGTGTAAGAATGTGTTTATTCCAAAAGTAAAAATTTATTGATTGATTGAATAAATGCTCTCCATTCAATTGGTCTCTAAGCCTTCAATTGAAACCCAATTTAAGGTAGATATAAAAGATACTAAAAAAATTAAGAACTCTTGTCTGGGTAAACTATTAATTGGGTCCAATTCTGAATTCATCTAACAAACAATCAGTCAGGGAAGGATCCATGAAGGAGGTGGCCCATTGCAACATCTCTATAGCCTCAGGTCAGCTCACCAGCTCAGGTTTGGTGAGATGCTGTTTTTTCCTTCCATGCTTTGAGGGCTGTTGGGAAGACCCATGAAGGACCTTCATTATCCACAAAAACAAAGATTTATTGGATGTCAATTTCTTATTAGAAGACACTGTCTAGGTAATAGTGAGATATGCAAAGATGAATAAGAAATAAGAAAGAATGACAGAAATCTGCAGAATGCTTCTCCAGCCTGAGAGATCCCCTGAGAGATAAAGAAGGCAAAGGTTTTTGCTCCCATTGTGCAGATGAGGAAACTGAATCTCTCAGAAGTGATTTACTTATGATCACACAACTAGAAAATGTCTAAGGCAGGATTCCAACATATGTGTCCTAACTTCCAATTCAGTTTTTCTATCTACCATGCCAAGTTGCCTCTTGAATCTCTCTTCCATAAGACTCTTGTCATGAGTATCTGAAGAGCTCTTCAGATACTAACATATGGCTCTCATATCTCTTTTCCACATTAAACGTCTCTCATTCTTTCAAACCAGTTCTCATGTTGCATGCTCTGTAGTCACCTCGCTATGCTGGTGACCCTTCTCTGGCCTAGTTCCAGCTTCTCAATGCTCCAGCTTTTCTGACCTATGTTTTTCCTATTGCTCTGAAGGGAAAAGAGGGAAGGGCAGGGATAGGAGGCCAAGAACTCAATGACCTCATCCAAAGTCACAGAACCAAGAGGCACCTTGGATAGAATGCTGGTCATTTAGCTGCAAGTCCCAGCTCAGATATTTACTCGCTAAGTGGTCATGAAAAAAGTAACCATCTCACAGACCCTTTTACCATCTGTAAAGCAGAAATAAATATGATCCGTAGTATAGTAGCTACCTCAAACATTGGTCAATAAGTATGTTAGTCAAGTAAACATTGTTTACTATGTGCCCAGGCACAGTGCCAAGCACTTGGGATACAAAGAAAGGCAATAGATAGTCCCTGCCCTGAA